CCGTGTTTTACCGCGAAGAAATTCCGGGCAATGGGGAGGCCCGAAACCTACGGTGTTACGACACCAATATATCGAGGGAATAAAGAGTGCACTTGTTGTGCATGCACTTGGGTACTATAATCCTGGCCTGCAGCGTTGACCGAAATTTGGACTGGAGAGCATAAATAGAGCATCGGAGACCCTTTTCACTGTGAGCGAATCATTGCATTTCTTTTCTCTTTGCGTGTTTCATCGCATGTACCACGGGGAGTGCTCTGAGGAATTGTTCGGACTAATTCCAGCCGCTCAATTTCACCATCGCACATGGCGACAAAACTCGCGATACCACTCATACCATCTGGATGATTGGCGGTCCACCACTGTGCGAGTTAGAAGATGTTTTCTTCCTCGCACAACTTCCTTGTGGAATCGATTACCACCAGCGATTTTTCCGAACCGATACGACTTAGAGACCTTCAAGAAAAGAGCCGGCAACGCATCTGCAATTCCCCTTGTGTTGCAGTTGTTCATGGGCGGCGATAGTCAACTTACCATCAGGTGAACCGCATGCTCGTTTGCGCCCTTTTACGCTGGTATTCTGTGAGGACGTGGTTCTGCTCCGGTCGAGCCAAACCATTCATGCTACATGCATAATATAGCTGCAGCGTGACTGACTCTGACCAAGGCCGGCAACCCATTTGCAATTGCCCTGGTGTTGCAGTTGTTCATGGGCGGCGGTAGTCTACTTATGATCAGGTGAGCCACACGCTCGTTTGCCCCGTCTCCTAAAAAAATTCAAGTGTTCAAGAGTGACAACACATCATATTTTGAATCTTTATCGATGATAAATGTAGGTGTCAGTTACAAGATCCATTTATACATCTCCTTATATAAAAAAGGAATTAATCGATTGGTATGCAATAACCATTTGCATAATTACTATCACACGTTATCTGAGCCCGCACACCGGTCATGTATAACTAATCCGCTGTTTAGGATGCTGTAACATCAGATCGCAGCTGTGTACAATGTACATAGCGACCGCGTAATGCAAACACCAGATCGGGGAGTAGATAGCCTTATATACTCTTGTTAAATTGCCTATAGTGCAGACATTATCTTTATGGATCACATGTCCATCATATTTGATACGGATATGAAAAAGCAGGTTCATTGATATTGGCCGAGGTTATTCAAAATAAATAAGTGGCAGTTGATTTTTTCGGCTAAAGAACAATGATTAGAAAGCCTTAAAAACTGATCTATTTGCAATTAAAATAATAAAAAGTAAAGCAACACCTTCCACTACTAGGTGCAGCGTTCAGAACAGCACACTCCACATCCTATAGCTGGACGCGGATTCCCTCATATTTCTGAAAGGGTTTAAGGAGTTTGCGATTAGCGGCACCACTTTATGCCACGTTATATAACAAAGATGTTCATTTTATAAACTATATACATGTACGTATCGTCTGCAATAGTTCTGATCTGAAATGACACGTGTGGGTGACGTGAGTGCGTCTGTAACACGCACAAAACCTCTTAGCAGTTTTTTATCATTATAGTGATATTACTCCCTCATCGCGTCAAGTAGAGGACGAGAGGTTGGCACCCTTGAGTTGCACTTTAGACACCTTACTAAAGGTTATTTTGAATTGATGCTGTATTTAAAATATCACTGATGATAAATTTGATGATACTTTTTTTTTTTAATTACCCTCACACAATTTTCACAATTTTAGTAAGGTGATTTTCATACTTAAATCATACATGGGAAAACATCCAGTCCCGTAATAATAATTATTCTGCGCTTTGTGCTACTAAGCTGTCAAGTTCCTTATTATTTTTATTTATGCCTAGGTAGCTCGGTTTTGCTATGGTGGCGTAACAGAATCTATTACCTCATTTCCTCCCACAATAATCGTAAGCGCCGTAAAAGTTTATGGTTTCCGATAGATAGCGGTGTGATATAAGGCATACGTAAAATACCCAGCCCGGCGACAGGCAACAGCTTAAAAGGTGCAAGGCGTCGTGAAGACGATATGCTACTGTGATCATGAAATCATCACTCTGCCTGTCAAGCATAACGATTAAGGCAAAGTCTATCTTCAACTGGAGGCACAACGGCTTTAATCGTCATGCATGTCAACAGTGGACTTTTAAGCGCCGATAACGAATAAAGAACACTTTGAATCAACTCAACTATTTTTTACGGATTTTATCGCGTTTAATTTACTATTTTAATTCCCGATAGATCCATTAAAACCCGCGTGAAAGAACATATAGCTGATATGAAGCACCGGCACTATGGGAAGTCTGCAGTCTGTGAACATGTTTAAGATCGTCCCCGCCATTACATCAGATATGATAGACCACAAATCCTCGCAAAAGAACACCGATTCCTACCAAGGATGATACGCGAGGCTATTGAAATTAAAAAACATCCTAATTTCAATAGCGAAGATGGATGGGTGCTGCCATCTGCTTGGGATCCTATAATTAACAAAATTAAATCCAAACCCAAACATACCACTGCAAGACTTCAAGATACTGTAAGTTCATTCTGCGTAAATCGAACCAAAAATTAATATTAAAAACTGAAGGTAGCCGGGCTAACTGTGACATCGGGACGTCAAACATCTCAGTCCCCCCCCCCCCCCCCCGTGACCATGGGTTGCTGTAAAGCACTCGAAACGTCGGGAATTAAAATAGTCAATTAAACGCGATAAAATCCGTAAAAAAAAATTGTATTATTCAATGTGTAGTGTTCGCTTAATGTCACCTCAACCGGTTGAAAGAAAACTTTGCTATATTTTTAGTTTAAAATATAAGTTATAGAAAAAAATAATTTCATTGAAATTGATTTTGCCACTTCACGTAAAGATTAAACGATCAGACAGGCAGACAAACTGACAAAAATTGTTTGGCTTTTCCATTATCCATCCATTATAGCCAATTACAATCCACTGTTGAACATAGGCCTTCTATAGGTTGCCTCATAAATCCCCCCCCCCCCCCGATTTTGCCACAGTTGTCACGCTTGACAAGCGGGTTGGCAACCGCATTTTTTTTTAATTTTTAGTTGTTATCAGGAAGATGCTGCTGCGCATCTCCTGTCTCTGTTACCCCCTGTCGCCTCTTACGACACCCACGAGATGATACGACTCGTATTTATTATTATAACTAGCTGGCCAGACAGACGTTCTTCTGCCCTTTTCGACGTCCCTTCATATAAAAAATCTTTAAATTCGTAATAAAAAAATATTGAAGGTCACTTATCGGGATAAAAAGTATCCTATCTCTCAAGTTGGACCAAACTGCACACAGTGTGCAAAATTTCATTGAAATCAGTTCAGTAGTTTAGAAGTTCATCGCGGACAAACAACGTGACACGTAATTTTTATATATAAAGATAATACTCGTAATTATCGATTACCTCGTATCATACGAGGTAGTCGAATTTTATACCGCCACTGCACTGTTTTTGGCGTTTATTCAATTCCAAACATCCCTAAAATTTTCAAATAAATGTCATTGTAAAATACAAAGTCAACTTATATACAAGATATTTTATTATTGTATAGGGTTATTAACGTTAATTTTACTATAGCAAATTAGGATAACTTTACCTATATTCTATTATTGTAGCGTGCAAATGACATAAAACAAGATTATATATCATCATTCTAAGAATCAACAATAAGAAATTTAATCTGCCTATATTTAGAATAAACAAAGATTTTTTTAAAGTAAGTATAATATGTTTTTTTTTTATCTAATCATATCGTCACCATAGCTCATTTCACAAGTCCACGGTTGAACATAGACCTCCCGTGAATAATCTCGCATTACACGGTTCTGAGCCACCTATACATCCATCGCCTTCCTGAATGTCTCAATTCGTCACTCCAGGAGGGCCTCCCTACATTTCGCTTACCGGCACGAGGCTGCCACCATCTGCCATTTCAAAACCTTTCTTCCCAATCAATTATCGGTTTCTCTAATTTTATGGCCGACCCAATGCCACTTCGGCTCTATGATAAAGTATAGGTACTGTGTTGGGTTGACTTTTCTAAAAATAAAGTATATCTTATTTTACGAAAAACTAGTGTTCTATGAGGACAAAATGTGTTAACATAATTTGGTTAGTCTTTTACACTACAATTCGCCAATTTCAATAATCCAAAAATTCAATGAATATTGTATTTCATTTCAAAGTTATTGCGTTTACTCATTATCTATATAAAAGTATTTAAATCACTTTTTATGATTCAATTCATCATCTGTTGCCCCATAAATAAAAATAAAAATTTGCATAGGTAATACAATAAAATTTTAACAAAGTACATAATTTGTCAAACCTAGTTAAGTACCTACTTAGTGCTTCATAAATCAGCTATTTTCAGACTACTCCAACCAACTTCAATATTTATGAACTTTAAAGCCACAGGAATTTTACCCTCCATCTTTTTTTATGAAGCAGAATGCAACAAAACCATGAATTACGAACGCCAATGTAACTTGGAGTAGTCAGACCTCTTCAAAGTCTTTCAAGCTTTCGCGTATTTTAAAATTAGTTTGCATACATTGCTGCTTGACTAAGCATAAATTATTACTCATGTTAAATATTTAGGCAATGGGTGACGGTCGTATGCAATTTCAGCAGAGCTGACATCATCACGAATTTCTTGGAATTTTACTTAAACCTAGATAGGACGTAAGTTTAGAGAAATAAAATGTTAAAACATCAAAGTTATTCTCTTATAATTTTAATTTCTACTAGTCTTTATCTAATATTACCTATAATCTATACTATGAAATAAACATAATAACAAATTATAAACACATATTAAGTGTATAAACAAATAAAAAAATGCTGAAAATAAGCTCAGATTTATTATAATTGAAATATGTAGAGATGAAATGTATGAAAATTGGGTTCAATTTTATTATTATGTATAGATTAAGTAAACATTTCTTATTTGTATAATCGATATATATTTAAAAATTTAAAAACTTACCAAAAACACTCGTCGCCTCACAAATACAAAACAATTACACAAATATCTTGTCATATTTCAAGACAGTAGATTAAAATGTTACTTAGTTACTTCATAATAAATAAATTAAATTAATATCGATTATTATTATTATATCGGAAATGCATAGTTTTCGCGCCTTTTTATTTTTTTAAATTTATGGTATGCGAAGGGCAAGTCATTGTAGAGCTGGCGCGACGTACGAGCGAGAGCATGTGACTGCCGGTGCCGCGGCAACAGTGAGCTGTAGTACGCTGAGATTTGATAGGTCAACGCATTGCTCACCACTATAAAGTATTTCTATATATATATATATATATGTGTAACTGAAACTGTATAAAAGTTCCTCAACAAAACTGTGAGTTTGCTTTTACCTTTTAGTAACTCGGCCATACACAACACTAATATCGGTCATTACTACATAGTTTAAAAATTGACATACGTAATTAAACTAGGTTTGTCTTTCGCTTTGACAAGAGACTGAGTAACCACTACCAATATCTATACTATACGCTTAGATCTGACTCAGCGTTGGGCGTACAGACCGGCTAAATCGTGAGTTTCAGAATTAAAAAAAACCGCGAATCTTTCACTTTTATAAAGCTATAAAATGTAATTGTAGCTCCTATGACTCAAAGAGTTTCTTTCTCGACCAACTCCAAATTTCTACATCCGTGTTTAGGAAAATTTCATTAATTGACTTATCACAGCATTGTCTATTAAGGTACAATTACCTTTAATTGTGTGCTGGTGAAAGCTAGTTAAAACTAGCATAAGACAATAACAACGTTATTACTTCCACACTAGGATTTTCTCCTGTATCTTGGAGGAGTTTTACATTAATAAATTATTGCACACGAACAAACATCCAGAACATTCATTATTTATCAGCTTTATAAATTCCTGTTCCGTGTGGTATTCGAATCCACCGCCCCTATGCGCTGCAGCTTAAATGATTAGCCACTGCCCTACCAAATGGATCGTTCAGAATTGAGAAGACTGCAGAGTATTCTAACATAGATGCGCTGACGGATTGGCCGCAAATTTAGCTGAGTACGAAAAGAAGGACACTTTCGGCGTTATACGGTCGTATTTACGACGACCATGAATGTATCTGATTCAGTTGTTAAGGTGACGATCCAATGTATTAAGATGATGACACATCTTACAACACACATCAACATAGTCAATAATCGGCAGAATAAGTGACTGAACAAGTAGGATCTTAGTATTCCTGTGGTAGTAAAAATTTTTAGGCGATATTAAGTTATAAAGGTCGCAAAGTTCCAGTAGTTTCAGTTCCTATATATTAAGTTTGTTCAATGTTAGGCAGCTATCTATACAGACCGAGATTTACATAGAGAGAGAATGATATGGCATTGTTGTTAAAGATAATTGATGGTAGAATGGGAATATCTAGTTTAATTAAAAATCTTGTGCTACCTAAGATTACCGTTTGGCATTTAGAGGGGTTCATATTTATACCATACACAGTGGACCATTCAAAGATTTTTATTTCAAGTCGTCGTTTAATAATGAAATTACATTAATGATATTAGAGGGTTCTACTTGTGCATATAGTTACAAATCATCGGCATACAGAAGGTAAAAGCACTTGAGATTTAATGTTATGAGGTTGATAAAATTGGAAAATAAGAAGAGAGATAATACCGCCTTAAGGGACGCCACTTTACACATTACTCCATTTAGAGGAATCTTCGAAAATCACCAAATCGTAGATATAATATATCGGTGTATATTTATAAAATAAAAAACTACTGCGAATCGTTCCGCTAAACAAAACAGTTAGGTCTAAAATCATGGTGACCATTGAGCGTACAAGCTATTCCAAACAAAAATTGTATGCTGCTCTATGTCTTCGCGCATGCGCGGGAGATAGTAAAGTCACGTATGCGCGACGAATTAAATTTAATATAAAATAACATATTAATATAAAATAAATATAAGAATTTAATATAAAATACTCTTATTTTAATCAAAACAAATCTATTTCTAAATAAAATGTCATCATCATCATCATCATTACAGCCTTTCACAAGTCCACTGCTGAACATAGGCCTCCCCCAAGGAATGCCACAAAGCACGGTCCTGAGCCACCTGCATCCATCGACTTCTTGCATGTCTTACCAGGTCGTCAGTCCATCTTGTGGGGGGTCGCCCTACACTTCGCCTACCGGTACGAGGCTGCCACTCAAGAACCTTTCTTCCCCATCGGTTGTCGGTTCTTCGAGCTATATGGCCGGCCCACTGCCACTTCAGCTTACTAATCCGTTGGGCTATGTCGGTTACTCTGGTTCTACTGCGGATATCCTCATTCCTAAGTTTATCACGCAGAGAAACTCCGAGCATAGCCCTCTCCATAGCTCGCTGAGCGACCTTGAGCTTCCTCATACGGCCAGCAGTGAAGGACCACGTCTCAGTTCCGTAAGTCATCACTGGCAACACGCACTGGTTGTACAATTTTGTTTTAAGGTTTTAAAGTATGTCTGACAAGAAGATGTGTCGTAGCTTCCCGAACGCGGCCCAGCCGAGTTGAATCCGTCGATTGACCTCTCGGTCGAAGTTGGACTTACCTAGTCGGACTATTTGTCCCAGGTAAACATACTCGTCAACAACTTCGAGCCTAGTGCTCCCAACAACTACCGGCATAGGTGTGACATGTACATTAAACATAATCTTTGCTTTGTCCATGTTCATCTTAAGACCTATCTGTTGAGAGACACTATTGAGATCATTGAGCATAGTGCTTAGGTCCTCCAGCGATTCTGCCATAAGGACTATATCGTCGGCAAATCGAAGGTAAGTGATGTACTCGCCATTGATGTTAATACCGTATCCTTTCCAGTCCAGAAGCTTGAAAACGTCTTCCAATGCAGCGGTGAAGAGTTTCGGGGATATAACGTCACCCTGTCTTACACCTCTCTGCAATTGGATAGGTTTCGTACTCTGGTTCTGTACTCTCTTAGCTCTACTGTACAAGCACTTCAGCACTTCGATATACCGACAGTCAACTTGGCACCGCTGAAGGGACTGCAGCACCGCCCAAATTTCGACGGGAACAAAGGCTTTCTCATAGTCCACATACGCCAGGCATAGTGGCAAATTGTACTCCTCGTACTTCTGTACAACTTGCCGAAGGGTATGTATGTGGTCTATGGTGCTAAAGCCTTTTCGGAAACCGGCTTGTTCGGGAGGCTGGAAGTCGTCAAGTCTGCGCGCGAGACGATTCGTAATGACTCTCGGAAACAGCATGTAGACGCGGCTCAGAAGGGAAATCGGTCTGTAGTTCTTCAAGAGAGCATTGTCACCTTTCTTTAAGAACAACACCACCGCACTTCTGCTCCACGCCTCCGGTGTAATGCCACCATGGAGGACGGAATTAAAGAGCCTCTGAAGGACTTCCAGTACCGGTTTTTCACCCCCTTTCAGAAGCTCCGCTGTAATTCCATCCTCGCCTGGGGCCTTGCTGTTTTTAAGATGCTGGAGAGCCATTCTAATCTCGCTTAGACTGACGTCCGGGGTATCTTCGGAATAGTGTCGGATAAGACTCGCTCTTGGATCGTTACTCACACTTGCGTGTGGCTCCAACGATGACGTGTACAGCCGTCCATAGAACCTCTCAATCTCACTCAAAATCTCAGGTGCCCCGGAAACGATGCTGCCACACTTGGTCTTCAGCTTTGACAGCTGGCTCTTTCTGACAGACAGATCTCTGGCAAAGATTTTGGAGCCTTGGTTCCTCTCGATCGCTTCTTCAATACAAGCTGTATTGAAGTTGCGTAAGTCCCTTCGCATGCATTTGGAGATCTGTCTGTTCAGTTGCCTGTATGCTGTCAAATCTGTTAAAGAATGAAGCTTCATTTCCCGTCTAACAGCCATGAGATTGAGAGTGTAATTGGAGAGTTTTTGTGTTCTTCTGTGGCGGGTCTTGCAGAACTTTGCTCCGACCGCATGGATAGTTTCCACAAGTTTGTCATTCATATCGTATACTTCATTGCAGTCTTCTAGGCACTGAAAACGGTTTTGTAACTCGAGCTGAAAGGTTTCGGGACTTTGGAACAGAGCACGAGGGGGACGGAGCGTTGACTTCATTAGACGAGACCTCTCCAACTTAACGTTTAGGTTCAGTGTGCCTCTAACCATTCGGTGATCGCTACCAGTTTTCACCCTCGCGATCACGGAGACATCACTGAACAGTTGTCGTCTGGTCGTCATAATGAAGTCAATCTCATTTTTTGTCGAACCGTCGGGGCTCGACCAGGTCCACTTCCTGTGGGGCCGCTTCTGGAAGAAAGAGTTCATCATAAAGAGTCCCTCTTTCTCCATGAAGTCGGTCAGCTGCTGGCCCCTTGGGTTCCGTTGCCCTATTCCAAATTTCCCTACTTTCAGCTCACCGTTCTCTCTTGTGCCTAGTATTGCATTGAAGTCTCCCATTAACACCGTGTATTGGGTTTTGGAGGAATGCATGGCTCTAGAGATATCCTCATACATTTCCTCCACCTCCTCATCGGAGTGTGCCGAGGTTGGTGCGTAAACCTGTATGACCTTCAGCGAATACCGTTTGGTGATTCTGAGTATAAGGTACGCAACTCGACTCGACACACTCCCGATCTTTACAACGTTGTTAACGAGAGACTTGTGGACGATAAATCCGACACCTCCTTGGGACAGATGGTCGCCCTCCCGGTGATAGAGCAAGTTGCCGGATTCGAGGATTACCGTGTCCTACCCCTCTCTTCGGACTTCGGATAATCCTATAATATGCCAGCGCAACTTGTCTATCTCTTCTTCCAGCTCCACGATCTTCTCGTCAGTCCTCAGGGTGCGTGCGTTGTACGTTGCCAGGTCAAGACGTCTAAGGTGGCAACCGAACCTCCACCGGAGCTTCTTAGCACCCCCAGTAAATAAAATGTAATAATAATTATCTTATGGAATTCACAAATCTTCAATTTACGCAAAATTCCGCTCAATAACTCGGAGCAAACTGAGCAACAAACAACAACACCAAAGCGCCC